GATGATGAAGCTTCATCTCACATATTTTGGGCATGTTGTTAGGACAGACTATTCCTTGGGAAAGGACATTAAGTGAAAGATGGAGGGTCAGCAAAAGGCAGAAATATCCTCAACGAGACAGACTAACACAGTGACTTCAGCAATGGACTCCAGTATGTTAAAGTAGGAAGATACAAGATAGGCAGGGTTTAAGTGATTTGTTCAGAGAGTTGCTATGAGTTGTACTTGACTCAGCAGCACCTAGCAACAAAATTTATAGAAACTGATACAAACAATCTTTTAAGTAAGGACATCAGATGCTATTAATGAGCTATCACCCACTCAAACATGACTAGTAAATTCTGTGAGCTATTTTAATGCACATCTATAGTATTCCTTACAAACAAGGAATTTCAAGTAAAGCAATTTTCTCCAAGCCAATGATCAACAGGATAAAAGTTCTTAATCCTCAATGTAAGTATAATTCCCTAAACTCAATTTGTTTAAACAAAAAAGTAAATGCACCTCTGGAAAATAAACAATTAACTGAATCTGTGGTATCATTTTTGCTAGCTGTTTAGCAACAATATGATTTATACCAATGACATTCACTATCGTGTATTAACGTAATAAAGTGAGAAAAGAAAAATTGTCTTTCTCACAAATTTTTGTTTTAAAAGACAACAAACTGTGAACTTTACTTTTACTCTTCCCCTATAAAGGATTCTCAAATAAATTTTCAATCTGTCATAGCTTACACCTACATGTAAACTTTCCAAATGTTTATTCATTCGTTTAATAAATATTTATTAAGTGCCAGGCACTATGCAAAGCTCTGGAGCCACAAGCTCTGTCACAGACTTCTAGTTATTAAATGATATCCTAGGACTTTCAAAGAACATTTGCTAAATCTCTGTCTTTAGGATATCTAATTCCTACATCAGACTATCATACAATATTAGAATATCTTTTAAGCTGGCTGCGTAACAGACATGTGGCTTTTCAGTTCACAACAGGATTTAAATCTGCCACTAAGTTAAAAAAGAGTCACAATCATGTATTATCTGCATGATGATAGAGAAAAGTACAATTTATCACTCTAATTAGTATTACTGAGACAAACACCCTTACTTGGCTGAAAGCTACTATGGTATCTAGTCTAAGCTATAATTAGACCTAATTTTATCTACCATTAAAACTATGTATAAAATTACACTTACTAATCCCTCCTCAGATAATGCTTCAGTCTTATTTTAGAGGAAAGGAATTCTACTGTTCAAACTTGGAAAATAATCCTGTCCTCCCACTACAACCTAGCAGATTTTTCTTTAAGTTTCCAGCCATTAATTAATACTGACTTTTAAGATTTGATTAACCGGAAGCCAAAAGTAAAAACAAATGAAAGTCTTTAAGATCACAGAATTTCAGGATTGGATAGATTATCTAATTTAAATTCCTAATTTTAAAGATGAAGAGACTGAGGTCTAGAGAGGTTTACTCACTTGCTCAAGGTCACATAAGTTAATGACACAAGCATGGTTAGTTTTGACTCCTAATCCAGTGCTCTTTTTTAATATACAAAAGAAACTATTATAGGAAATTAAGAAGAAACTCTGAGACAGAGAAAAATACCTTTAATTACAAACATGAGCAAACCATAACTCAGATGCACTTAATAAGCTCTAAATTTAAAATGTGTTTTATTAAAAATAAGAAGAAAAGTAAGTCAAAGCTGAAAAATGATAGATCGCTCTTGTGGGATATGGCCTTCATGCAGGTCAATCCGGTTATAATCAACTTTAAGAGCCTGTTCCAATTATTTTTTGGTTCTGGAATTATTTTGTATTGAATAATACTCAAAATTAGGATACTGGCTAGGGAGTAAAAATCTTTTTGATTTACAGAGATTTTTGTTGTAATGAGTTTTGACCAGGGAACAGTAAATTAAAGCAAACTTCAGACTTTCATCTTAATTTCCTAAACTCTCTTATTTTGGCCTCTTCCTTCCTTACTTTCACAAAGTCATAGAGGCTAGAATTCCCATTTGATTTTCATTTTTATTTTTCCAAAATGTAAATCATTTGTTTCTCTATTATTAAATGTAACCATTTCATCAACATTTATATTTTCTACACATATATATGCATAGAATTTTGTTTAAGAAATACACAACAAAGATTTTCCTAATATTCAAGTTATAAAATATGTAGATATTCGAAGACTTACTTTCATACCACTTAAAAAAAGAAATGATACTTGAACAGTTAAATTATTAATACTGTTCTAGTAAATTATTTCATCAAATTAAAAGAGTCTTACATTCCCAAAGAAAGAAAGAAAATATTAGTCAGTAACTACACTAAAGAAAAGACTGACACTATCCGAGGCAGGAAAATTAGGTTATTAGGAATGGAACAACCAGAATGGAATTAATGAGAATCTTGACACAAAATGAAAAATGAAGTCACAGTCACTGAATATTTGTTCTCTAAACTATCACCCAAACATAATAAAGTATTATTTTAAATAGGACAGTTGCTCTGCATTTTCATCAATATTGGGTTGTTGTGTTCCATTGAGTCAGAAATTATCCATAGCTGAACCTCCAGCAGGTTTTCAGAAGTAATAAACTGCACGGGAGGAGACAGTCCATCTTTTTCCCGGGAAGCAACTATAGATTTGAACTACATACCTTTGCCCTATCAGCGCAGTCCCTTACCATTAAGTCACTACAGCTCCCTCAATAGTAGAAAAATAAATATGTTGTATATTTTGGGGACTTAAAATTCTGATCCAACAGAATATATAAATAAAAGAGATCAAAACAACAGATTGAGATGGTTATTTCTGAATCATAAGTGCATCTGTGGATTCCATTAAAGTTGTTAAATGAAAGATGAAACACATTTAAATGTTAAAAGATGGCTACAGTCTACTACTCTTTTCTCACAGAGAGTTGACAGATATTTGTTTGCCCTCAAGAGATTTGGGTTTTCCCTCAAACTCAGGTACTACTCAATTGATAAACCTGGTCAGTTCTACACCTTGTATCTCTGCCTATTCCATCCTCTTCTATCCCAAGATGGCAGAGCAGGGGCACAGTTAGGGCTGGGGGAAAAGTGGAGAAAAGCGGCTAAAGTCCCCCAGGCATTAAACCTCATTACCTCTTCAAGTTCCCACAGGCATTAAATCTATAAAAACTAGTGTTTGCTATGCAAATAATCTTCCAGATAAATGTCCCATCTCCCTTTCTAACTAGTTTACTACCCAAGCCTCTCTCACAGAAACATTCTGGACTTAGCACTGATCTTCCCCCCATCAACACAGACTCTATATAATGCAAATCAGATTGTGCTGTTCCCCTTCATTCCTTTCTTATCATTTAATTCCCTCTGACTATCATATAAAGCACTTCATGGTTTGGCTAGCTTCCCTGTCTTATCTCTTGGACTTGCCTTCATTCACCCCAGGTAGCCAAGTTACATAACCTCTAATTCCCTGAACACACTTGGCCCTTACAAACCTTATTTTGTCCATATTACTCGATATGCACAGGGGTCAAATCCACCAGATGCTCTGCTGGAGAAAGATGGGAAATCTCCTCTCATGTGATTTACTGCCCCTGAAAACTTGCTGGAGGGTCTGTTATGAGTCAGTTCCAACATGATGGCAAACAACACTCTATCTGATAGGAATGACTTCCTACTTCTTGGACACCTGGCAAACTGCTGTTCATAGTTACAAAATTCAGCTCAAGTACAACATCTTTTACAGAACTTCCTTAAAGTTCAGAAACCCTCCCTTACCCAAAAGATCATCCCCCAAAGGCTATTTTCTTCTGGAGTCCCAGAACACCCCAGGCATAAGTCTAGACTTAGTACCAAGTCACACTCAATGGGCCCTGCACAGTTCCAGTCTCCACTTTTTCACGAAAGCTGTTTTCTCTTGTTTATCTTTGTATCCTCACTGCTTAACCCAATACTAGCTCTCATAATAGATAAACAGCAGAGATTAATGAGTTGAAATTAAATTATCTCTATTGTCAGATATGGGTCAGTTTCCACTTGATGGTACAAAATAATAGCATTGTGGTAATAGAGATACATATCCAAACTCACTGTGGTGGAGTAGATTCTGAGTCTTAGCAACCCTCTGTGGGATTTCCAAGGCTATACATAATTACAGAAGAAGACTACCCATCTTTATCCTCTAAAGCAGTTGTTAGATTCAAACCACTGACCTTTCGGTTAGCAGTGTGACATACTACATACTATACCACCAGCACTCCTAAGAGATATTTGCACTAGAAAATAGAAATAATACTGATAATAATGTTCCCAGAAAAAGTCTGATCAAGTAATCTTCAAAATAAAATTAAAATATTAAAGTTATAATTGAAACATATGTAAACAAATCTTGGTATTTCATACCTCACTTGTTTAAATGCTTAAAATTACACTTGTTTTTTACAGTATAGTTAGTTATTCTAAGAACAAATTGATATGCAATATTAGTTCTGTTTATTTGGGCAGTATCAAGTAAAACAAGTTTGTTTTTCATTTACAAGAAACAATTATACTAAGGTGGTTCATTTTAATTTTTTATTTGTTTTCTAAAAGAATGACTACATATGAAATAAAAATTTTTCATTATTTTTAACAAGATTAATACCCTAAATTGTGTGATCTGATGTAGTTTCTTATCAAGACCTCCAATTTCTTATGAGCATTATGACTTTCAGATGTTCAGTGTGTGTTAAAGAACAAAAAGATATCATAAAATATTAGTGACAATTATATGCTGGGCAAGGAAACTGGACATTGTTTCCTAGCATTGTATGGATTGTGGAAATTAACGTTACTCAAAGTAGAGTGGTGATTTATAACCAATTTCCGCCTTCAAATTAGGGCCCAAGTAAAAGCAAACGAAATTGAGTAAAACATTCCAGTGTATCATTTCCTGCAGCAGAGACACCCACTCCTACCAGTGCCCTCACTATGTACAGGACAATAAGCAGCAACCTGAGGGAAGCCCACAGGCTCGCAGGGCTACTGGCTGGCTCTTTGTCACCAAATGCAGCAGGTTGAAGGCGGACATCACTGTGATATCTTCACCAAGAAAACGAGAAGCAAAAAACGGGCAAAAGCTGAGTAGGAGAAAAAAGAAAACAGAATCAAATTAAAACCTCACAATGATAAACACACTCATTGCACAGTTGATGGCTACAGTTTTATCTAAAACTGAACATACACACACAATGATAATACCATTTCAAATGTCTATTCTTCAGGCAGTGTGTTTACATTCAATCTAGGCTTATTTATGTCTTATTAGTGAAGTACATACTATATAATGGCAGTGTAATCTGTGAACACGGTTTGCAAGAAGTTGAGAGAAGAGACAAAGTTTAAATAGCATCTACCAAATTCCTACCATGTGACAGGCACTATTATACACATTGTATTGTTTATTCTTACAATAAACCTAGGAGGTAGACTTTATTCCCCAATATATAAGTGAGGAAACCAAGGCTCAAAGGTCCAAGGGCACAAAGCAAACAGCCAGTGGAAAAAGGATTAGGAAACCCTGTTATATCTGATTGCAAAGCCTTGTTCTTTCCTTAAACCATGCTGACTTATTCCAGCAATTATTTGCAAATCTCTCTCCCTAGAGAAGACTGTAAAATATTGTAAGATGAAGAGATTTCTTTTGCTGGAATAACCTAGAAACAAATAACCTAGAGACAAGTAGGAACTTCACATTACAAAGAAGGTTAAGGTTAGAGAAAGCATGGCAAATACAAATTTTCATTCAAATTTATGATTTATCATTTCTAGGTCACTTCTGTGAATAATAGTCATAGCTTAAAATTACAAAGCATAAGTGTATTTTTAAAGTTCTTGGAAATTAACCATATGGAAGAACACTAAAAGTATATGAATGTCAAACAAGTTCAGATTTTAAGATAGTTAAAAAGATTTTAGAAACTATTTCAAACTACATTTAACTTGCAACATAAATGGGGAAATACAGATTAATGTCTAATACTTTATTTAAAATCAGTAGTATAAGTGATTTAACTACTAAATATCCAAAAAGGGATTCAAATTAATGTCTTGTTCATTTCCTACCTTCCTCCCTGCCCTTTCTACCCACCCCCCAAAGAACTCTGTTCGTGGTCTCTTCTGACCTCCTTGAAGAACAAACACATAATACACAGTAATATATTTTACCAAATCACTCTGGAGTATATCTGACAGAAATCTGCTTGTATTAACATGCCTGAACTCTGACTTCTCCAAACTAAACTCACTACAAAACTAAAACATTTTTTCGTTACTAACTGGAGACAAAAGGGAGGAAGAGGGAAGGTAAGTATCACAACGCACAGCCTGAAAGAACCATTAAACATAAATAAACATGTCATTTCCACGAGTGAACGCAGAGCAGGGAAAGGAGAGCATTTCTTTGGAGCAGACTACTGACTAATAAAAGATCAAAGGTCTATACCTCACAACACTATAAATAAAAATGCTTTTTTTTCCTTGTGACCTATAAAAGGGTGCACAGTAAATATAATTACTTAGCAAAGGAATAAAGTGTGCACAGTAAATGTAATTACTTAGCAAAGCTATAGCCTCATTGTGCTCCCGCAGCTGACCATAAAACGTCTTCCTATTTTGTTTCATCAACTGCTGTACCAGGCGGTCTCCGCGCCTACCGATCGCCACAGCCATCTGGCTTGTGTCAAAACCGGTGCACAGGAAGAAAGGCAGTGATGTCACTCTGCAGGTCAGGCAAAGAACAAAGATGCATTCTACAATTAAAAGCTGAAGGCCTCACATACCAGGGGTCCTCCAGCACGATACAACTCCATGATTTAAGGTTAAGGCTACAGTGTATTCATTTCTACCCAAATAGCCAGGGCTCCATCTAGTGGCAAATCAATTTTGCCCAGTTTCTGCTTTTGCTTTGTTTTCATAGCAGACATGGCAGATGCTACATTTACATCAACAATGTGGAACAATTAAGGGGATTCATTTTAGCATAGTCTCAGTTTATCTTCAATATGGATTGAAGCTCAACATCAAGAAGACAAAGATCCTCACCACTAAGCCAACTGGTAGCACCATGTTGGAGAAGAGATGGAGATGGTTAAGAACTTCAGCTTGCCTGGCTCTGAAATCAACACTCTTGGCACCAGCAGTTAGGAAATGAAAAGAAACTAATTACATTGGGGAAGTCTAATTACATGAGGGAAATTTCCAAAGGGCTAAGGAGTAATGATGTCAGTCTAGGGACTAAAATGTGTCTCATCCAGACCATGGTCTTTGCAATTATTTGCTATGTATCAGAGAGCTGGACAATGACTAAGGATGACAGAAGAATCCATGCCTTTGAGTTCTGGTGCTGGAGAAGAGTACTGAACATACCATGAACTGCTAAGACAACAAATAGGTTTGTTTTAGAAAGGGTAAAACCAATTTTCTCCTTGTAGGCAAGAATTTTGAGACTCCATCTCACATACTTTGGGTACATAGCCAGTAGGGAGGGACCAGTCCTTGAAGAAGGACATAATGCCTGGAAGAATGGAGGGACAGCACAGGAGAGGAAGACCAGGGATGAGATGGTTTGACACAATAACTAGGGTAATGGGGGTAAGTGTGTCCAACTCATTAAGACTGGGTCAGAACAGGGCAAAGTTCAGAGCTATTGTACATAGGGTCACTATCAGTTGCAGGTGTCTCAATGGCACATAACAACAACAACAGTTGTTTTTATACTGAAGAATGCCAAAAGCATGATTTGTCACAATGTTGTCCAATTTTAAATCCTACAAAACATGAGTTTCATAGATTAGGATTTATGATAACCTTAGGGGGCTCTGGTGGCTTAATGGTAAGGAGTTGCACTGCCAATCCAAAGGTATGTGATTCAAATTCACCAGATGCTCCATGGGGAAAATATGGGTAATCTCCTGTGCAATTAAATGCCTCTACCTGCTGGAGAATCATGTATAGGTCGGTTCCTACTCAACAGCACACAACAACATAACCTTGTTTTTAATGCTTACAAGAGTTATAGACCAACCTGCTAATTTTGTAAAATACATGCAAAGGGGCATCACTCACACAAAACCCTGAAAACATGGAGGGGGGTGATGTTAAATACCATGTAATAATACCACTATCATTCAAATACATGCATCAACAACCAGGGCAAAAGAGAAGGCAATAGATTACTTCTACCAACTTTTGTAATTGGAAATCAATCAAACATACAACCAAGATACTTTGATAAGAGTGGACAATTGGGATGCAAAACTTGGGAACAGGGAAGAAGGATTAATAGTCAGAAAGTATGAACTTGGTGAAAGAAATGAGGCTGGAGACAAAAGAATAGAATTCTGTACAATCAATGACTATTCATCACAAACACCTTTTATAAGAAACTTATACAGCAGCTATGCACATAGACAAACCTGATGGTCTACACAGGAATCTGTATAGATTGACTAGATCTGTGGAAAAAAATTGTTGGAGACGTTCAATATCAGCTGTGAAAACTAGGCCAGATGCTGATTTGGGGACAGACCATCAACTACTCAAATGCAAGTTCAAACTGAAGTTAAAGAAAATCAGATTACATCCACAAGAACCAAAGTTTGATCTCAAGTCTATTCCACCAAAATTTAAAGACCATCTCAAGAACAGGTTTGAAGCCTTGAGCACTAACGAGCAAAGACCAGATGAGCTGTGGGAGGATATCAAGAATATCATTCATGAAGAATGAAAAAAGTCTCTGCAAAGACAGAGGAGAAAGAAAAGACCAAGATGGATGTCCAACGAGACTGAATATTGCACTATAACGTCGAGAAGCCAAAGCAGAGGGAAGAAATGAAGACTCCAAGGAGCTCAACAGAAGATTTCAAAAGACAGCATGGGAAGACAAAGCAAAGTATTATAATGAAATGTGCAAAGAGCTGGAGTCAGAAAATTAAAAAGGATGAACTCGCTCAGCATTTCTTAAGCTGAGGGAACTGAAGATCAAATTCAAGCCTCAAGCTGCAATGCTGAATACAGAAAGCATCAAAAGAAGATGGGAGGGATACACAGAGGAACTATACCAAAAAGAATTGGCTGACACAGAAGAATTTCATGAAACAGCATATTATCAAGATCCTATGGTGATGAACAGAGCAAGGGAACACTGCATGGTTCAAAATTGGGAAGGGCGTACGCCAGGGATGCATACTATCTCCATACCTTTTCAACCTATATGCAGAACAGATTATCCGGGAGGCTGGGCTCTATGAGGAGAAATGTGGGTTCAAGATTGGTGGACGATTTATCAACAATCTGCGTTATGCGGATGACACAACCCTGCTTGCTGAAACTGAAGAGGACCTGAAGCGCCTGCTGCAGAGTGTCAAGGACTGCAGCCTCCAATATGGATTGAGGCTCAATGTCAAGAAGACAAAGATTCTCACCATTGGACCAACTGGCAGCATCAGGATGGATGGTGAAGAGATTGAGATTGTACACAGCTTTAGTTTGCTTGGCTCCACAGTCAAAAGGCGCATTGCCATGGGAAAGTCTGCTGTTAGGGACCTCTCCAAAGTACTGAAGAGCAATGGTGTCTCTCTGGAGACTAAGATGCGTCTGATGCAGGTCTTCGCAATCACTTGTTATGCATCAGAGAGTCGGACAATGACCAAGGACGACAGAAGAATTATTGATGCCTTTGAGCTGTGGTGCTGGAGAAGAGTATTAAGAATACCATGGACTGCTAGGAAAACAAACAGATTTGTCCTGGAAAGGGTTAAACCGGGTGGCTCCTTGGAGGCAAGGATTCTGAGGTTCCGTCTAACATACTTTGGACATGTTGTGAGGAGAGACCAGTCCTTAGAGAGGGACATCATGCTTGGGAGGGTAGAGGGACGGCTCAGGAGAGGAAGGCCCTCTATGAGGTGTATTGATTCAGTGACTGGGATAATTGGGATGGGAGTGTCAGAGACAGTGCGATTGGCACAGGACAGAGCGGAGTTTAGGGCTGTTGTACATAGGGTCGCTATGAGTCGCAAGCAACTTGATGGCACATAACAACAACAACAAAACATGGTGATGAATGAGGAAGCTCAAACTGTTCTGAAGGAATTGGCAAAAAACAAGGCCCCAGGAATTGACAGAATATCAGCTGACACATTTCAGCAAACAAAATCTGCCCTGGACACACTCACTATATTATTCCAAGAAATATGAAGGACAACTACCTGGCCAAACTGACTGGAAGAGATCTGTATTTATTCCCATTCCAAAAAAAGGTGACCCAACAGAGAGTGGAAATTATTGAATGGTATCACTAATATCACACACAAGAAATATCCTGAAGACTATCCAGAAATGACTAGTAAATCAGCAGAGAAATGCCAGATGTACAGGCTAGTTTTAAAAGAGGCTGTGGCACTAGGGACAGCATAGCCAACATTAGATGGATCTTGGCTGAAATCAGAGAGTTCCAGAGGAATGTCTATGTTTCACTGACTACGCAAAGGCATTTGACTAAGTGGATCACAACAAACTGTGGCTAACTTTGAGAAGAATGGGAATCCCCGAACACTTAATTGTGCTCATACAAAACCTATATACTTGGACCAGGAAGCAATAGTCAGAACACAGCATGATTCAGAATAAGGAAAGATGTACCTCAGGGATGTATCATATCTCCATACTTTTTCAATCTATATGCAGAACAGATAATTTTGAAAGCTGAACTTCATGAGGAATAATGTGGCATCAGGATTGGAGGAAGATTCATCAACAACGTGCTTTATGCAGATGACACAACCTTGCTTGCTAAAACTGAAGAGGACACAAGGAATTTGCTGCACAAGGTTAAGGACTGCAGTCCTCAATATGGACTGAAGCTCAATATCAATCAATAAAACAAATATTCTCAGCATTAGGCCTATTAGCAGCTTCATGATGGATGGAGAAGAGATTGAGATTGCTGACAACTTCAGCTTACTTTGTTCCACAATCAACACTCTTGGCACCAGGAGTCAAGAAATCAAAAGGTGAATTACATTGGGAAAGTCTGATGTCAGGGTCTTCTCTATCGTACTGAAGAGCAATAATATCAGTTTGGAGAGTACGGTGTGCCAGATCCAAGCCATGGTCCTCACAATTACTTGCTATGCATCAGAGAGCTGAATAATAACTAAGGATGACAGAAGAAGGATCAAAACCTTTGAGTTGTGTTGGTAGAGAATAGTGTTGAACATACCATAGGCTGCCAAGAACAAACAGGTCTGTCCTGGAGAGGGTGAAATCAGCTTGCTCCCTTGAAGCAAGGATCTTAAGTCTTCATCTCACAAATTTTGGGCACGTGACCAGGAAGGATCAGTCCTTGGAGAAGGACATCATTCTTGGAAGGGTGGAGGAGACAGAGCAGGAGAGACTCAGTGAATGAATAGATGGATAGACAGATGGATAGACTCAGTGACTGAAGCAATTAGGTCTCTCAGAGACAAATTAGGTCTGTCAGAGACAAAGGGATTGGCACAGCATAGGTCAGACTTCAGAGATAATGTACATGGGGTTGCTATGCGTCACAGTTGACTCGACGGCACATAGCAACAGTTAGTCAACTGTGAACTCATAGCAATCCTATGAATCATAGATTGAAACCTTGCCCTATCCTGAGACATCCTCACAATCTCCACCATGCCCAAGCCCATTGTTGCAGTCACTGTGTCAATCTATCTGGATGAGGGTCTTCCTCAC